TCAGCTGGGGTTACTATTCCCAATATATGGAAAATAAAAAATGTTCCAAACCACCAACCAGATGAGATCAATCTCTTTTTCGAATTTTTTCGATATATAACAATCGGTAACGTCCTACGTCCTCAGCCCTACCCGTTTTCACTCATCCCATTGGGTGTCAGTTGCATGTTTCATGGTGCGTTTTACGTAGGGAATCTGGATGGGTTGCTGGGGGTTGCTGGGATTATTATATTATGGATCATTCCCAAAAATTCCCTACTAATTAAGCACCAGTAAGCGTTTCATGACGGTTAGAATGTAAACCAAGTTGGTTGACCGTCATGGCTGAGTGAATTGCCATGTAGAGTGATTGCAATTTCCTTCAGGAAAAATCTCCGCCCTGTCTTCAACCGAACGACGTTTTTTCATCTCTACTACATGTTGCCAACGGCATTTCTTCCAAAAACAGAACATGTTTGTGCGAAAAGGCAATGTTTCTGGAGGAAAATAAAACAGAACAACATTTCCCTATCCAGATTTAAAGGCTATGTGGGGACGATTTCCCCTATTTCCCCAATGCAATTCCCACCGCACCGGGGTCTCGGTATGTCTCGGTCACTATATATTTACCTGAAGTTATCAACCCTCAAGGTCGCTTTTTTTTTTTTACAATAGCGACCCCTGTGCCAGTTCCGATCTGAACAATGATCACTACAGGCTGATGGTTCCTGGTCAGTTTACTACTGTGGATGGGCCAGCGAAATCCTGCACCACCAAACGGATGGTTGAAACCCCAGAAATCCCAGAAATCATCGGTTCAACCTATCAACTGGTGCAGGATTTCGCTGGCCCATCCACTGTATGGTTTACCCAAGCCATGTGCCCTAGCCATCTGTGCTCAAACAGTCGAGATCTTGGCTTTTGCTGAGCTCGGTCGTGGCAGCCATAAGGTGACTTGGGGCACCCCTCAATGGTTTTGGTGGATGGGATTTCTTAAGGTTGGTTGATTGGTTAACAGACCCAAATGGGTCTGGATCAAACCTGGATTTACCGTCAGATTTCCTCTAAATTATTCATTCGTCAAATTCATCGAACATGAGTTTGAACGGCTGCAAGCTGGAAGAACTTAATGGAGGCTTCTAGAAAGTCAGTTGGATCATATACAATTTTGGACCCGTCTCTAAAGATATCCATATATCTGGCAGAACAAATGTTTAGCTGAAGGACAAGTAGGAATCATCATTCCAGTGACGTCACAGAGACATCATTCGAATTCCTCCAGGTTATATCATCCCCAAACACCTTCATTCTGACCCTGCCAGAAATCAGATCGGTCCCCTGAGTTTCGCACACCCCTGGGACCCTGGGAAGGGATCCGCTAGCCTTTTGGGTACCAAAGATGGATACTGTGAAATCAAAACCTGATTTGTTTACACCATAAGTCCCGAAATTAAATTCCAGAAGATTCATAGCCTTCCTCTCCTCCCTTCTCACCCCCAAAAACGTTTCCTTAGGAGAACTAATAGAAAAAGCTGAATTGAGTTGATTTTAGGTCAACTTGTGCATGTACAACTACGTATTGATTTCCTGTGTTCAGCGTCATCTCACTTGCCCGTAATGCCCCCCATTTAAGTGTCTAATTTTGTTTTTTGCTGTTTATATAAATAATAGGAGGGTTCACTCGCCACAGTTCAACCACGGTCGATCGTACTCGGTATGCCGCGGATAAGACCCCAGAGCTTCCAATAAAGCTGGATTAAGCTGAATGGATGTTTGTTTGAAGGGTGAAACAGTATGTTTCACAAGAAACAAGCCTTCAAAAATCAAGTAAATAACACTTAGACCACCTTAGTTGCACTTAAATTCAGCTAAATTCAACTTAATTCAAATTAATTCAGCTTAATTCCACCCAATTCAACTTACAGCAATCCAATTTAAAACATTTTTCCATGATTAATCATAATTGTTGGATGTAAACATGGTAAATATATCGATGTATTTCATGGGATGAAGCTAACACAAACAACGTTTGCGCAGCAACGCGGGTGCCCCAAGTGCACCCGCAAGGGTGCCCCGGCAGCTATACAGCCTGGATCTTGTCAGAAATAGGTGAGCTAAGCTCCTCGGGCAAGGATCCAATGCCAATGCCATGGTGCCAAGATGAAAATTGGGTAATGGCTTACCATGGTTTAAAAAAAAAAACATACATCTATGAAGTTATCTTAAATTCTTATGATAATGGCTTACCCATTTGGATAATGGCTTAATGTGGTTAAAACAAAAATAAACCACCCATTTGGGAATGGTCTATACCACCCATAGAAATGGTGATTTTGGGGATGGTTTATGGCATTGTTTTAACCACATTAAAAAAAAAACCTTTGGATTCACAAGTAGTGGACTTTCCATTGAGAAACGAAAAGATCATGTGGGTAAAACAAGAATCTGCTTGATGGTCTTAACCATCTTTAAAAAATATTAGTCAATGGGAAGGATTATCTCATATATTATGGATAAATAATCCAAATGTTCCAAACCACCAACCAGCTAGAATTTCACGAGTGTTTATGGCAGTTATCATCATAGTTAGTGGATTTACCCATTAAAAATGGTTATATTTTTACCAAAAGGACATTATTGATAAACAATAATCTTGTAAAATCATTAATGGTAAACCAAAATACATTATGGATTTAAGGTTCATTATGTTATTAAATAATCATGATTACCATGGTGATAACCAAAAATCGTGGTTTATAACCACATTGCCATGGTGATAACGAAAAATCGCCATCTCGAATCTCGCAACGGATGCGAAACTTCTTCTGAATGATGTACATATATAGGTTTAACACATAGAATGTATAATAGTAACAAATCAATAATACGTATATATAAACAAATAAACATATATATATACACAAATAAAAAAAAATCTTAGATCAAACATATGTAAATGTATGTATATACAAACTATATGTATAAGTATATGTATATACAACCATATGCAAATACATGCAATATATGTATACAAATACATGATACATTTATAGTAATATATATATATAGGCTAGGTCTTTGCTACCATCGCATTTCCAAAGGCACAACCGATGGGCCCTCCGTATGCACAGTGAATGAAAACGCGATCAGAATGAGTGGATGATGAACAACAGGTCTGCTACCCAAAAGAACGCAACAGCACACAGCGATACAGTAGATTTGAGCTACGTGGGACGGTTTGTATGAACATCCTCTTATTTTTGAAAGTCAGCAGCTAGAGTTAGCAGTACCCCCAACCGCTTTGTCATAAAGATGTTCAAAAGATCTTACAAACCAGCTATCCAATGGACAAATCATCTGAGTTGACTGCATGCCCTTGCGGTATCTTTAAGGGAGTTCGAAATCCAATGTAGCAAATAGAATGGTTCTGAAGAAATACAATTGCTGCTTTAGCCCATTGAACACAGCCTCTGCGGAAGTAAGGGTATACTTCAGATACAAGTAAGAACTCATACAAAATAATCTCGCCGGATCTATAGCCGAGCTAGCGTTTCAGTACGCTTCAACTTGACACATGCATAATTCACTGCAATTTCCAACGAAAAAAAACTCTTTCTCATTTCTGGGAAAACCACACACCAAAAAAAGTGCATTCAAACACTTTTGTTTTCGGTCAAAATGCTGTAAAAACCAAGGTTTCAAAGGTGGACATGTGGTGTTTTCAACATCTTCCTTCGGCGAACTAGGTGTGAGCAAGTTAGAAGTGATCAATAATGTGTGCACAAGGTGGTGCCCCCCCAGTCATAAGTTGGTTTATAACCCCCATCAAGTATAGGTATATATATATCTCTACCATGAACCCAAGCTATTGAAGTTATTTCAACCAACTTGGCTAACTATGGGGCACCACCTTGTATGAACGTTAACATCCCACGCCAACCCACCCCAACCTCAATTCCGAATCAGAGCCGTTTTCGGCTCCGATTACTCTTCCCATCAGCTTCCCATCCTTGCACTGCTTCCCCCAACGATACTTGCATTTTCCATGGTTTTGTACAACCGAAAACAAGTCCGCAAACCCTCAGGCAATTTCGAAGCGGCAAAGAGTTAGGTCCTGGCCACTTGTTTTGCCAGCCATTCGGTTAAACAAAGAACAAACCAAAAACCAAGGAACCAAAAAAACAGAAAAAGAAACAAGAACAAAAAAACATTACAGGACCCAACTCTCTGCATCTTCCCCCCCTCGGTGTATGCATTTTTTTTGTTTCTTGTTTTTTCAGGTGTCCTAAACTAAAACCGGAGAAAAAACACCAAGACCCCCAAAACAAACAACAAACTAAAATACAAGGAACCAAAAACACAAATACCAAAAAAAACAAAAACACAAAAACACATGACAGGACCCAACTCTCCGCATCTTCCCCCCTCCCCTTGGGGTATTCAATCTTATTATGTTTGGGTTTCTTGTTTTAATGTTTGCTTCTTTGGGTTTTGTATGCTGTAAAAAAGGAAAGAAACTGTAAAGGTGAGATTGCAAAGAGCAAACTGACCTACTGCAGGTGCATAAAACACACAACAGACCGCACTCTCAGGCTGTTTCCTTGTGAACAAACATAAACTCCAACAGCCAAATATGCCATATAACATCTTATGTTTTATTGCATGATATCATATAACATAATAGTCCGTTATGACATTTTATCTTATAACTTTGGTGAATAATTTGCCACAACACATTTATCCTAAAAATATATATAATATATATATAACTTACATTGTACTATATATTACATGATGTGTTATCAATTTGTATTACATCGATATATTATATATATATGTAAAAACTGATTCATTTGTTTATTTTATTAGACATTATGTAGATCTGTTTAGACGTTCCTCTTGACACCCTGGCTTAGTGTTGGATCAGCTCATGTTCCTTCTTAGGAGTACTTCGTATTTGGGGGAATGGATTGAACATGTCCACATTTTTAAGGTGCGGAACGCCGCTGCACCCAATTTCAGGAACTGATCAGCTGCCAAAATCACAAGCCCTGGGCCCAAAATCTCGTCTCACGCCGCAAACAGCGACACGCGGGCAGCTCGGCAGCTCAGCAAGTTTTTCCATCGAGGCACCAAATCAACAGGTCACAAAGACACAGTCACGCTTTCAGCCTTTCTTCGATGTGGCTCTCGGCATTCCGTTTCACTAAATCTTCATGGGGGAACTGTTCTTCCGGAATACGGGTCCCCAAGAAATGTGAAAGTGCTGACCAACCGTCAGACCAGTTGTACACCAGCAAGCGCTCAGGTGGGATAACATCTTGAACTCGCTGGATGTGGCGGTGATAGCTTTTCAAGCAAGTGTCCTTGTCTTCTGGACTGGGATTGGCAAAATTGCAGCCCCAGGATTGCATTCGTGAGCAGTTTCTAGGCAGACTGTGAAAAAATGCCTTTAACGAAATAGTACCAGTAGCTCTGAGCTCCCTTGAAAGTTCCACATAGTTTTCGAACCAGCTCTCTGCATCAGAGATGGTGAGCAGAAACTTTGCTTCAGGAAATGCTGCCATTATCTCTTCGTACATTAGCATCGCCGGTTCATCCATGGCGGCATCATAACCACCAAAGACCGCCAAAGCATCATCCAAGGAACCATTTCCAAAGAGATACCTGGTTGGGGGGCGGGTCATCACTGGACAAAAGGCAGAACAATTTGTGTTCTCATTCCATTTTCGAGGATACGAAATTGAAAACAGAACCTTGCTATTCTTCGTATTCAGTTTGTTTTCAATTTGGTTTTGAAGCGCGACGAAGAAATGATATCCTGTTTTCAACACCTGTTTCCTCAAACGCGTTTTGTTATTTCTATGAGGGGTACTTTTGGAAGCGACTTAACCATCACTCGTCATACATCCGTGGAACTCGGAAGGTCAGAATGAAGGAAACAAACATTGCCATTTTACGGACCCCCTGGATTACTTGAAACTGTAAACCACTTGTTTCACTTGTTAGTAAACCACGATTTCATCGTTGCAGCCACAACATATTGATTGATTTGATTGATTCTACTGGGTTGTCACTGACAAATGTCCTTTCTCCCAAAATTTTGCGAAAAGATGCCCACACAATGCAGGACGCACCGATTCTGCCTCATACCCAGTGTGCAACGGCTTCAAACCCAGTATCTTCATGACTTCGTGCATGGTCTGCGTCCCTGTTCGGGGCGGTCCCACGTCCAAGAGTTTGAACGCATCAACCATCAGGGTGCAAAGGAACCATGACGCAAGCTTGAGGCCGGCCACGCCCATGGCAGGGACACGAGAACTTGGACAAATGGACAAATCGAGGGGTTTCGGTCTCTGAAATCTGCGGGCATTTTTGGGCTGATCATCTCAAACAAGAACAATGAAAAATCGGACTATCACCATGCAAATGACTTCTCCATTCAGATGACTTGACTGTCACACCATGGCAAGAACTTTCTCCCCAATCAAAACAATGCCTAATTCACTCCGGGAAGATAAATTGATGCTCCCCAAACTATTCCCTCTTACAGTAAATCCTTTAGAAATCCTATCCGGTTCTTGGAAGGTTTGCTCTCACTTCTCAACAGTCAAAAGTTGAAGTTGAGGCCAATTGATTGCGTTGAAAAATTGATGGCAATGTGGACAGTGATGTTCTTTTTTCTGCAGTGGTTGTTGCAATGGGGCACCTGGACCTATTGAATGTGTGCAAGTGTGTCTGCGTGTGTGAACGTTCGCATCCCATGTAAGCAGAATGGAACCTCATTGGAAAATGGAAAAACACAAAAACACTCGTAGGGAATTAGAGCCGTAAGCAAGAAGAATGACATGAAGGGCCATCAAAAAATAAAAACAAAGATCATCAAAGATCATATGTGATAATGATAATCCATTGGTTTCCACTATCTTGGCCATCAAATATGGTTAGATGTTGAGATTAAACGCAACAAATGGATATCATCCAGGAGACATGGTTTCCCACCAGGTTTCCAGACACTCCAAATTAACATGGAACCCGCCAAATACAGCGTTGGAAAATTACTTTCTACCAGCACTTGTCAATTTTCAAGGTGCTCATTTGGCAGAACGTATCTTTACTGTTGGTTCATATCTGACATTACATTTTAACGCCGGAGAGGTACTGCTCGTATCTCTTTCGGGCAACTGGGGTTTGGCTAAACAGCGCTTCAGTGATCATCGCTATGTAATTTTAGATACCCCACTTCAGTTTACCACATTTCTCGAATGCATGCAGATTGTACATGAATATATTCCCACGCGCAGTGAAAAATAAAACATGATTGGTGGTTCATCCCAGTTAGTAAGTAGGTTATAACCCTGATTCTAAATGGGCTAAGTAACTGAGGGTCATGACCCACTTATTAAGTGGGATGAACCACCATAAATCTTCAAGTGGAACGGGGCATAGAACGGTCAAACATCGTTGAATTCCCGACCTTTCCTCGCCGAATGGGATGGTCGAAGACGTCGATGGCCAATATGACAAGCAGAAACGCGAATCGGGGAAGTTTGAATACGATACATACCCTCCGGTAAACTAACAAAAAACTATGGAAAATCACCATTTTATAGCTGGGAAAATCCACTATTTCGACTGGGCCATTTTCAATAGCTATGTTTGTTTAGCAGAGGGTATATCTGCGAAAATTATCTGGTTGGTGGTATACCTAGCCTTCTGAAAAATATGAGTTCGTCAATGAGAAGGATGACATCCCATATATGAAATGGAAAATAAAATTCATGTTTGAAACCACCAACCAGGATACATACCCTCTGGTAAATTAACATAGACCCTCAGAATCACAATTTGTTAGAGGAAACTAATCTTTCAACCTCTATCTGGCAGGGTCGAACTGTTAATGGAGGGTTCTAATATGGGAAAATTCTAATATGGGCCGTTTGGGGATGATTCTTCTTATTAACCATGTTTCCAGTGAGGGAGAACAGTGAGGTCGTGATCAAATTTGCCTAGATACATGGAGCATCTGATCATCGACCACGAATCACCATATCATTGTATACCATATAATCCATTTATATACCATATATATATAATACCTATCATTGTATAGTGTGCCCAGATTAATCTATTGCCATTTTCCATTGTTTTTTGTATGTTTACCAGAGGGTATCGCCATCATATACAAGTACCATCATATACCATCATTAAACACCATATTCCATTAACAAAAGTTACCATCTGGTTATTTAACAGCCATGGAAAATCCCAAAATAAATGGAGGTTTATAGCTGGGAACATCATCTATTTCTATGGGCCATGGCTTCCATGGCTATGTTAAATAACCATAGGGTAACCATCATATAATATACCGTCCTTAATCACCATATTCCATTAATAAAAGTTCACCAGATCATAGTCCATCAATATCATTAATCAACATATTCTACCATATATAATACCATCATATACCATATATCATGTATAATGTACCCAGATTAATCCATTTCAGAGTCTTGCTGTTTGGTGGTTGACCTACCCCTCTGAAAAATATAGAAGTCAGTTGAGATGATTATTCCCAATACCCTCTGGTAAATTAACATAGACCCTGGCAGATAGGGGTTGGAAGATTAGTTCCATTAAAAATTGGCTATTTTCAGGGTCTATGTTTATTTACCAGAGGGTATATGGAAAAATAAAAAATGTTCCAAACTACCAACCAGCTTGGGATGAGCCACGAATTACGCGTCCCACGTGACGAACAGTTTGGCTTTCGAAGTCATGACGAGGCACTGCCGTGGCTTCGCTCTGCTCGTCGGGTTGATGGTTTCTCCTCGGCTTTTTTTTTGTGCCGTAAAAAAGTGATGGCTATGATATGATACAAGCTGGTGCCCCCGTTGGACCATAGGAAACCAGTTAGGAAAATGTGGGAAAACCATAGGAAAACCATAAAATGGTGATTTAAGCCACTAAAATGGTGATTGAATGGGGTGTATAGCTGATTTATGACAATTTGGGGGGCACCACCTTGTACGATGACAATTTCCATGGAATATCAGTGGTACCTTGGCACTTACTGAGGTACCTTGGTGCTTTTGGATCCAAGCATTACATAGCATTACAAAGTCAATGGGAATTTGAGGATACTAAAATGGAGGTACTGTACCATATAAGGCCATATTCTGTGGGGAGATTCCCTTACATAGGCCTGCAAAAATAGGTCTTATATATGGTAGGTACCTCCAATCAATTGGTTCCTGAAATGGCCAGTGATTTGTTGGTTTTTGATCCAACCCCCTTAAGTTAGTTCGATCATGATATATCTACCATGAGACCTAAGGTTTTTTTCAATGCCTTTTTCAGAAATTCTTCTGGGGTTGACTGAAAATGAGCTGTGCCCCAAATCACTCATGGATTGTGAATGGGAAAATTGATCATCAACGATTAAAATCAATTTTCAAACAAACCCATGTAGGGACAGATCATGTAATTTGTCTTGCGATCCAGCTGATGAATTGTAAGTTTAATAGATTATGATAAATGGATTGCTATCCAGTAAGCCAACATAACTATGGAAAATAATTTTGTTTCATAGGTACATCATCGAACTAAACATCGCCAATCTTAGATACCCTACAAAAAAAGACAAGTTCTTAGCTGGTGAACGTAGATAATCCCATTGATACCACGGTTCGGACTGCTGATTCGACGCAGATCACAACTATCCCGTGCCGTATTGGCGGGATAATCGGTAAAACAAGCAAAGTGCACAAAAGAAAGGTGCAAGTGAAAAAACAACAAATTCAAGCAGGAGGTATTAATTACGGTTGGCATCGACGTTTGTAGATCATCTTGTAGTTCTTAAAGCGTTTTTCGGGTGAAGGCTCAGGTACCACCTCCAAAACAATGTCCCTGAAGGTTTGCACCCTATCAAGCGGCAGCCGGAGTTTATTTTTTGTGGGAACGGTTTTGATGTAATGGAAAACAGCCTCATTGGTCTCCCTTTGGCGAAGCATCATAGGGCGGACATTAAGTGACGCAATTTGGCCGGTGAATCCGAAGCGGTGTATGGATTTACCACCCTTACCAATGTCACTGGGAATCAACTTAGTCCCTAAGATCGATTCGACACAACGAAAGGCTGACTGAAACGCTGTGCATTGAGACATCGCGCTACGTTTGTCAGAAGGGAGAATTCGAGCAGTTTCGGAAAAGCAACTAGTGTATTGCACCTGATCAAGAGAGCCAGCAACTCTGACAGGGCAATATTGACCGGTCACAATGAGAAAATTCATGAACAACTCAAACCAAGAAACTCCCCAACTCATCACGGCTTTACCAATTTCATTTTCACCCCAATCAAAATCAACAGGAGGCCATTCCAAAGTTTCCGCCCAGGTTAAAATGTATCTCGCCAAATTGACACCTTGAAGGGAACCTTGAAGCGCAGTAGAGTCAAGTGAGTCCACCTTGATGATTCTACCATCCAAAAAAGTGTACGCATTCATAGCCATGACAGCATCATCACACATTAAATTTCTAGAAACACGGACCTCTTGGGACGGGATTGGGATATTTTTCTTAGTGGAAACCACTTTTTTATGCTCTTGATTGAGGTCAATAAGGTATTTGAAAACCTCTTTGAGACGTTGTTTTTCTTCCATGGATTTGCTGACCATGCTTGTCGAAAGATCACGCAACCATTTCGGACTCCTTTTAAGGGCTAAAGTGGCAATGCGATCAGCCACAAATTGCCCATGCTGACTCTGGTGGGCTGACCGGACTCAGGAGCGACCCAGTCAACATGACTTTTGACTTTATGGATTCTAAATTTACCAGTTTTCCACGATTTTTCAAGCCTACACAGCAAGCCAAAATTGGCGACTTTATAGCCCCAACGGGTCAAGTCACCAAATTCCAAAAAGTGAATAACATTCAAAACATACTGTGAATCCGAAAAAATGTCAGATCTCTTCATCTCAGAGTCCATGAGCACATTTTCACATGCCATGATGACAGCACACAACTCACCTCTGGAAATGGTCTGTTTGCCTTCAACCAAACCCATGTCTACCGGCTGGAGCAAAGGGCAGGGATTTTTCATTTGTACCGCAATGGATGTCATGGCCATTGCATGTTTACAATTTTCGGCAAAATCACGAACAACCGACCACGAGGCCAACCGGGCCTCGGACACAGTTGGGTGAACGCAACCACCATCCGTAAAGTACACATGATTTTGCTGGGACACACTCGGCACAGGGCAATCCAAAGGCAGTTTAAAACTTTCAACAATCTGGTGGAAAAAGGGTAGGTCTTCGTGAAAGGTCGCAATAGGCAGATATTGCCAATCTGGTCTTTGATTGCA